ATGCCCTTAGGTGTAGTTATCCTTACTGTGACTGTAGGAACCCAAACCCGGCTAAAGATGGTGATGTGCGACTTTGCTATGGTGGATGTGGTCGCCCCTTTCAACATCATATTGGGTAGACCCTAGATGTGCAAGACCAAAGCTGTTTATTCCCCTTACCATCTAGTCATGAAATTTCCAATAAACGCCGGAATAACAGAGGTTCAAGGAAATCTATAGATTGCCAAACAGTGTATGGTCGTCGCAATGAAGAAGGGAAAAGAGCTGCTGCTAAAGGTGTCAGAGGTCAATATGGTCCACGAATCTTCTCCCCAGCGCACCAAAGAGCAGACGTAGGAACCAGAAGGGGAGGCCCGAAGCCTGATGGGGAGTACGATGTCTTCCCGATCAATCCATATTTGGAGGGTCGAATTGTACAACTTGGATGCGTCCTACCCCCCAGCCTCCGAGAGATGGTGATTCAACTATTCCAGGAATATCAGGACGTCTTTGCATGGGAGCCTTCGGACATGACAGGGATACCCGTGGAACTAGGTATTCATCGTCTCAATATGGATCCTAGTGCCTGTCCAATTCAGCAGAGGAAAAGGAAGATGGCACCAGAGCGGAGTGCAGCAGTTGATGTGGAAGTCGCCAAGCCATTGGTCGCATCCGTGGTTAGAGAAATCTTCTACCCAACTTGGTTGGCCAATCCAGTTATGGTGAAAAAATCCGACTTGTCGTGGAGGATGTGTGTAGATTTTACCAACCTCAACAAACATTGCCCAAAGGATTGCTACCCCCGGCCCGCCATCCAACAGAAGGTTGACGCAATAGCCGGATATCCGGTCTTATGCTTTCTCGATGCTTACAAGGGGTATCACCAAATCTTCATGGCCAAAGAAGACGCCGAGAAGACCGCATTCATCACCGACCGCAGAATCTATTGCTGTGAGAAGATGTCGTTCAAACTAAAGAATGCTAGGGCCACGTAGCAGTGGATGGCCAATCGAGTGTTCAGTACCCAGATGGGGCGCAACATGGAAATCTATGTTGTGACGATATGGTTTTGAAGAGTGTTCGCCTATCATCAGTCATGGATGACCTTAAGGAGACCTTTGAGATGCTGCGTCGAGTGAATATGAAGCTTAGTCTGAAGAAATGCATTTTCTACGTAGGGTCGGGAAAGTTCTTGGCCGTGATAGTCTCGCAGCGGGGGATAGACGTGGATCCCAATCAAGTGTAGGCCGTCCTCAACATGCGGCAACCTCGATCCGTCAAGGAAGTGCAGAAGTTAACAGGATTAATGGCTTCGTTGGGGCGGTTCTTGTCCAAAGCCATTGAGAAGGGTCTACCCTTCTTCAAGGTGTTACAGAAGTCCCAACCATTCGAGTGGAATGAAGAAAATCAGGCGGCGTTCGCCTGGCTAAAGGAGCATTTGAAGTCTCTCCCTACCCGAACAACCCCCGAATCAGAGGAAGTCTTGTGTCTTTACTTGGAAGTGGGGGAACAATTTGAGTGCCGTCCTCATCTGAGACCTCAAGGATCGACAGTTGCCCATGTACTTTGTCAGCAAAGCCGTTCATGGAGCAGAAGGCTGCTACACCTTGGTGGAGAAGGTCGTCTTTTGCTCAGTCGTGGCTGCCCGAAAGTTGCAGCCCTACTTTTAGGCCCATACAATTCGGGTGCAATCCGACCAACCGATACAGCAGGTGTTAAGGAAGCCGGAGATCTTTGGAAGGATGACTAAATTGGCAATCGAGCATGGCGAGCACGACATCAAATTTGAACTTCGGACGGCCATCAAGGCACAGGCCTTAGCTAATTTCCTTGTTGAGGTTACCCGAGGAGAAGCTGAGCCCCCGGAGGTTAACCATGAAGTCCCGGAGTTGAGAGAAGAACCGCCCGCAGATGACGCATGGCAGTTGTGTGTAGACAGATCATCCGCAAGTTCTGGTTTGGGGGCTGGTCTTATTCTGGTTGACCCCTACGAGTCCGAGATCACTTGTGCCCTTCGACTGGAGTTCCCTACCACCAACAACAAAGTCGAGTATGAAGCTCTCATAGCTGGAATGAAACTTGCCCTCAAAATGAAAGCCGAATCAGTTTCTATTTACAGCGACTCGTTAGTCGTTGTCAACCATGTGTTGGAGTTATATGATGTTCATGAAGCCTCTTTGCAGAAGTACTTGGATGAAGTTCGGAGACTGAGTGGAAGATTTACTCGGTTCAAAATCAAGTATATTCGGAGGTCACAATACAAAAGGGCCGACACCCTCAGCAAGCTGGCATCGTCTGCCTTTGGTCACTTAACCCAGCATGTCCTGGTGGAAACCCTGCCCCGACCTAGCTTCGAAGACAATGGAGTTATGGTGATAGTGGAAGAAAAAGGTGAGACTTGGATGACGCCCTATATTCGGTACCTGAGAGATGGAGTTCTGCCCCCTGACCCTAAAGAGGCCCGGAAGGTGAGGCTGAGTACCAAAAAATTTGCTAAGGGATAATATCCTTTACTGACACGGGTACTTGACCCCCTTGTATAGATGCGTCCCTCCAGAAAAAGCCAACCTTCTTATTCGAAGCATGCATGAAGGAGCTCATGGAGCACATTTGGGAGCTCGAAACTTAGCTAAAAAACTTCTCAGGACTGGATATGATTGGCCGACCATGGCCAGAGACTGCTATGAACTCGCCCTCAAATGCGCTCAGTGTCAGAAGCACTCCCCGATACCTCGACTCCCTCAGCATGAGATGGTTCCCATCGATAGTCCGTGGCCCTTTTATAACTGGGGCGTTGACATCCTCGGGCCATTCACTATGGCGCCTGGAAAGTTGTGTCAACTCATTGTCGCCATCGACTATTTCTTTAAGTGGGTCGAGGCTAAACCACTGGCTTCGATCTTGGGGGAAGCTGTATCTCGTTTCTTTTGGAAAAACATTGTCTGTCGGTTCGAAATTCCGAAGGTACTCATCTCGGACAATGGGACGCAGTTTGAATCGGGGACGTTTTGGAGGTGGTGTGAGGAAATGAACATAGAAAGCAGGTTTGTCACTCTAGCACACCCTCAGGCCAATGCTTAGCTGAAAACATCAATAGGGCCATTTTAAGGGGCATCCTGACTCGGTTGCACAAAGCCGGAGGTGGGTGGCCGGAAGAGGTTCCGCATGTGCTATGGGCCATCAGGATGACCATGCGTACCGCCACCAGCGCCACCCCCTTTTCCTTGGTCTACGGAAGGGAAGAGGTCATCCCAGCTGAAATCGAAGTCCCAAGTCCTCGACTGGTCAATTTCGTTGAAGAGGAGTATGATGATTTGACCCACATTTGCTTAGATTTGTTGGATGAAAGGAGAGACTGTGCCAAAGCGAGAGAAGCTCGGTACAAGCAGCAGCAGATGAAGTACTACAATTCTCGAGTTCAGAGTCGTGACCTTGCTGTCAGTGACTTCGTCCTCCACAGAAATGATGTAAGCCATGCCTTGCCAGCTGGAAAGTTGTCTCCCAATTGGGAGGGCCCTTATAAGGTTGTGGAAGTTTCACTCTCGGGAAGCTATCGAATACAGACATGTCATGACGACCCCGTCCCTCTTCCTAGATGGAGGAACATACAGAACCTGAAGAAGTTCCATGTGTAGCCTCGTCCGAAGGCACACCATTTTGTACTCTTTTTGACGTCTTAGTATAGGGAAGGCCTCGCCTCTTATACTCCTTGAAGTATAACTTGGCTGATAATATATTCGCCTTTTCCCAAATCTTGGCACTTCAATTTTAAGTCGTCTGAACCCGCTTGCGGTCGACAACTCATCCTTGGGCTCCGCCTTGGATTTTTCTAAGGTCGTCCGACCCCGTTGGCGGTCGACGACCAAGCCCGACAAGCGAGTCCGGGACTTCTTTCAAAGTCGTTCGACCTTGTTGGCGCTTGACGACTCATCCTTAGGCTATGCCTTGGATTTTTCTAAGGTCGTCCGACCCCACTGGCGGTCGACAACCAAGCCCGACAGGCGAGTCCGGGGATTCTTTCAAAGTGGTCTGACCCCACTTGCGGTCGACGACTCATCCTCAAGCTCGGCCTTGGATTTTTCTATGGTCGTCCAACCTCGCTGGCGGTCGACGACCAAGTCTAACATGCGGGTCCGGGGTTTCTTTTAAAGTCGTCTAACCCCGTTGGCGGTCGACGACTCGTCCAAGGTCGTTCGACCCCACTGGCGGTCAACGATTCACTCGTAGGCTCCGCCTTGAATATTTCTAAGGTCGTCCAAATCGGCTGGCGGTTGATGACTCCATCCATAGGTGGTGCCCGACCCCGAAGGTGGACTACGAGCCCGCAAACGTACAAATAAAATACAAGTGGTAAATCGGCAACAACATGACACTCGGGGGCAAGGAGCGTGAGTGACTCGAACTTATAAAAGGTCCGTACACTCGTCCAAAATACATCCCTCACAATAAAGTAGTCTGACATTGTTGCCTAACACTTGGTTAAAATAATAAGACATAAAATATAAAAGGTGGAACTTGGTTATAAACACTTGGGGGCTCAGGCTTTCATTGCAAAATTTACAAAACCGTAGGGTCGGTTCTAATCAGATCTCGAACCCTACATACAACAATATTACAACCTCGCCTGCCCTACTCTATAAAAATCTAGCTAGTTCAACCTAGCTCATGAAATAAAGCATCATTTTCATATATTTGCCTCTCGGCTTCTCTAGTCGGAGATTGGTGTGTGTCCTCTAAGACGTCGCATTCATCTGTCCACTGTGTTTCTGGGTCGAATTCGCCTCCTAATTCTATGATTCAGAGTGTTAAAGGGCCGACTTCAAGCTTTCCACGTGCGCTCGAAGACGTCTGACCATCTCTGTCGACCTATCCCATTTGACGGCGACAAGAGCATACGCTCTCCGAAGATGAGTTAATACACTCTCATAGTAATTCCGGGCGATAAAGTCTTCGGGATCGTGATTTATGAGACCCTCACCCCTCTTCTTCTTACGTAGCCTTGCTTCGACCATCCACATCCTCTAACTTGTTTCTGCATCCATCTTCATGAAATTGTTAACGTGATCTTCCCAATACTTCTCCTGGTCTAAGTTTGTTTGACGGAAATTGGCCACCTCCTTCTTGAGGTCGACAACGGTCGCCCTAAGCGCTTCTAACTCCGAGTTTTGGATAGTCCGAATGGCATCCCGAAGACGAACTTCCAGATTTGACAACCGTCTCTCCCCTCCAAGGGAAGGCTCAATTAAAGTCCTACTTATTATAGAGTAATAAGGGCATGAGTCGGGGTTGAGGTTAGGATCGGGAAGTGTTAAGTTTATACCTTGGATACTGTCCTCTAGCCCGCCACCCAAAGTCGAAGGGATCCTTTTAGGAGACCTCTCGAGGCTTACTCCGACATCGACTATAGTTGTTAAAACTACCTACATAAATAATCATTACAATAACAAAGCGATAGGGTGCGAGTGGTGGAATAATTAAAGAAATATCTTCATAAAAGTTTGGAAAAAGTACAAGGAAGCAGACGAAATAAGATGCCTCTACACATCGACCTGAATTCCTAAGTACAAACTTCTTAAAACTACTGGTTATTCACCTCGTCTTTTGTGAAGTCTTCATTGCTGAACTCTGAGTTGTTGGTCCCCGACGCAGTCGACCTAATTGCGTCTCTTGACGGCTGGCCACTCTCCGAGGACTCCCTTCTCTGTCGAGCCATTAATTCCGCCTCCTCGTCCGGACCTAGGGGAGTTAAGACGGGAGACCCAATGTCGTCCGGCAACTTGTAAAGGAATGAGGGCGACTTAGCTATCGGAAGGAGATCTTCGGGAGAACTGATGGTCGGACAAACCTTGCATATCTCCTCAAAGAATTTCATGCCGCTCAAATCCGCGTCCTTGAAGAATTTTCTGGCTTTCCGGCAAAGGCGGATCTATGAGGTTGCTCCGTCCATGAGCTCGTCCGAGTACTTGTCCACCAGAGCGCGAACACCCTCCCTGCGTGCAGGGTATCCCCGACCATCTTTGCATGGTCCCTCATTCCCATCTCGATGACTGGAGTCATGATCTGGTCGATCCCCCTCGCAAATGCCTGCAAATTGAGATAAACCCTCAAGGCGGCCAGTATGTACCTATGGAGGTCTGACTTCGGGACCATCGACTCCTCTAACTTGGCTGTCATCGTCTCCTCGACTTTGGCCATTGCTTCTTTGTGGGCCTTGGATTGATCATTTGATTCCTTTTTCAAGGAATGAGTTTGTCTCTTCCAGTGCGCCCTTTCCTTCTTCAAGTTGTCAATCTCCAACTTCGCCTTTTCAAGTTCATCCACTCTCTCTGCCACGACGTTCTCATTCGCCGTAACCAAGTTGTCCAAGTTCCTGGCCAGCTTACCAAATGTGGCCACGGCCTGAAGAGACTGTTAAAAAGGGATGGGTTAAAGGAAATCAAGTTACTTATAAAAAAAGACAAGTAATAACTCAGCTGCACCATGCAGTCGGCTATCTGAGGGTTGTCCGGAACCTGAATTTCTGGACCCTTTACCCTCGGAGGGTTGAACTTTACAAGTGCGTGCGCTGGGGGTACATCTGAGGTCTTAGCAGGACGATGGAGGAGACCTTTGTCAGTATATGTTTCTTTCAAAAGCTCGTCGGGCATGACCTTGGTCAAACTTTAATTTTTTTGGGTCTCCTCCTTGGGAAGCGTGCAGACACTTGTTTAAAATGGAGGAGAGGAGCTTGTTCTGAGAACCCGAGTTTTTATGTTTCTCGGGAACCGAAGACGGGGCTGATTTCTTCCCCCCGTCTAATTTCTTCCCTCCATCTGGATGAGGAGGTTGTTGTGACGACGATGTCCGCTTGGGCTGCTGAGACGGGACCTCCTCCTCAGGCTCGTGTGTAATACCAAAAGTGGATCTTCTCCCCATCAGTAAAAACTTACCTAAAAATGCAAAGGGGAAAAGCAGTTAGAGTGGACAAGTTGAAGACCATACCTCTGATCGAATTAACTAATGCATCACTAATAGAGGCAATAAAAAGGTAGTTATAGGACTCCGTCCATGTCTCCAACTTGTCTAAATCTGGTTTCCGCCTTAGCATCTCTGCCTTATCATGGTCGGACCAAGGGTCGAGGACTCTTTCATGCTCGAGGTCATAGTTCCAGGACGGAAGATTGGGGAAGGACGAGTTCACGTACAAATATTCGACTCTCCAGGACTTGTAGGCTGCTTTCCAGGGTTTGGACGCGTCACTCCTTGACGCCAGTTCTTTCTTCGGACCCTTAGGGTTCTGAGTAATGCTGTACCAAATCGGGAAGCCCTTGGCCCCTCGGACAAGCTTATAAAAACACCATAATGAGAACGTTGGGGACGACCCCGACCTTTTCACAGACAAACACCAAGGCTAATACCGCCTTAATAAAGTTGGGGGTCATCTGAGCTAGAGGCAGTTGGTACGCCTTGAGAATCTGATAGCACAAGGGGAGGACGGGCAGATGAAGACCATAGTCGAGAAATTTGGCTTAGATAGTCATCTTCCCTTGAGGCGGGGTATCCGCCCTCTGATCGCCCTCGGGTAAGGTGGGCTCGAACGCGGTCAAACTGTACTTCGTCTCCGATGCTTCTAAATCTGCGTCTTGAAGACGACTTAGAACATCCCCGACTCTGACGATTTCCTTGTCCATGCTCGACCCCTGGAGAGCTATGAAGGCAAAAATAAAAAAGAAAGATAAAGCAAGTACCTTCGACCTCGACTGAAAAAGCGCCGGAAAAAGAATCGCCGGAAACACGCGACGGTTAAGAAGAAGTTTATTGCTGAGAAAGAGAGAAGAAATCAGAAGTAAAAGTAGGAACATTGCGAATGAGTCTATCTCCCCCTTTAATATAGTACTCATGAGAAAGCCAAGGGTCGCCTCAGTTCAACACAGCTATCATTACGACAGTTCGCTAATCGATTTCCCGCCTATTAAAAATTAGGGTAAAAGGTAAAAACTCTAATTCGTAAATGGGCCACCTAAGAATGGGCTTCTTGTTGTGATGTTGAGCTCAAAATCACATAGCCTATTTTGAGCTCAACAGGGACTCTTAATGCAGCAATTTTCTAACAGCAGCCCATTTACATGTCCCATCAGGCCTTTAAGGAAACAAGCCCAACAAGCTCAAATACACATGGGTCTCATATGGGTCTCACATGGGTCCTTCTTTTGGACATTTCCTAAATAGTGAACTATATATACCCCAAGACATTTATTTCAGGGAGTTAATTCACACTTCTCATTCTCTCTCTAAGTGTGTATTTAATTTATTTCTCTCACTAAGTTTGACTTTGGTATCAGAGTCCCCATCCTAATTGACCATTGACTCTCTAAGTGTGTATTTAATTTATTTCTCTCACTAAGTTTGACTTGGGCATCGGAGTGCTAACCCTTGTCTTACAAGTCCCCATCATAATTGACCATTGACTCGCCGCCATTGGGATTTGCCTTCGTCAACTACACTCTATTTAATCTCACTATTCATTAAAATTTAATAATCTAAACGAGTGCGAAACAGTAATAGCATATCATTAATGTTGGTTCTCTTAATGCAAGTTGTGACTATGGTATCAAGTATCAATTGCAATATTTCAATGATGGTTGTATTATTTATTAATTAGACTGATGTTTACAACGGCAACTCGAGACGATGCATAAGAAACGAAGCATACAAGGTAACTTAAGTTATACCATATATGGGTAACCGAATTCTTTTAATTCAATCTATACTAAAAATGAAAATCCAAACTAGACAATAATTTTGGGATGGAGGGAGTAGTATCTAAGGAACATCAGTTGGAGGTATGGGGAAAAACGAAAGAAAAGAAAACACTTAACTGATATTTCAATGTCTACACTTCAACCTATTGATTGGTTCTTCTTTGAATCCAACTCTAATTTCTTCAAAACACTCTCAATGGTAACATCGAAAGCATCCTTAAAATCCCCTGATCCATTCTTTGATGACTCTGCATACAAGATTCTTGGAAGAAGATCAATCACAGTTTCCCTCATTTTCCTAATCTGAATTTGACTAAACCCCTCAAGCTTATTTCTAATATTAACTGTGCCATTAAGCCTAACATCTCTATGATCTATAAATACTGAATAACTCTCAGGTTTCGAAGGCAAATGCCACTCATACTGACCCTTAAAGCTCTTCACCCAGAAAAACACAGGTATCGAACCTGCCATCAAACAATCAAAGAATGATCTCCTAGTATAACCATCTCCTTTAGGCTGCAAACAAAAATCGGAATCCAGGAAGGTTTCTAAAATCGCCGGTTCTCCTTCCGAGCACCTAGTTGCCGAACAATCTACCACTCTGCATGAAGATTCACTCTTGCAAAATTCCATCAACAAACCTCTGAAATCATTCCTGATTTTCTTCCGGGTCGCGCCCACGAAGCTAAACAAGCATTTTCGGGTCCTGGCTCGAATATAACCCTGCCATTCCGCCAAATCAGATTTTGACCTTGGATGGAATGCTGTTGGATATGGAACACTGAATTCCAACTCATCCCATGTGTTTCTTTCTGCACTGATTTTCAATACATTTTGCATCTCGGGCATGTACATAAACCGGGAACCCCAATCGGAATCCTGATTCGTCAACCTACGGAAATCCCACGTTAATCTACCAAACACTAAGAAATGATCCGACCCGTTTCGTTTCTTCCAAGAACTCTGTTCCTTGATCCAATCCAGCAACATTTCGCCGTGGCGATCGCGGTCTTTTGCAGTGTAATTGGAGAACAAGTACTTCCCGATTGCCAATCCAGGATAAAATGGAACATAAAATGCAGTGGCCTCTAGGGGTTTTAGCGTCCGACATTCATAATTCATCATCCTGAGATGATAAATTACCTCGGCGGCGTACATGTCTGTCCAGTACCAAGCCGGAGCAATATTTCCGGGTACGACTCCGGTGAGATAGCTGGCGGCTTTCGGGCCGAACCCGCCGTTGGAAACCGCCGGACACAGGGATTTCCAAGGGTCCAAGTCATGGCAATTTTCAAGGAGCTGTTTGTTGAATGTAGGAGGAAGATCATAAATAAAAACCTTGCCATTTTCGCATTTTTTTTCACTAAAACTTAGCAATCTTTTCGATAGCAATATAGGATGGGACAAAGCCGAATCTTGAATCAGGAAGAATATGATCAGGGCTTGGATTATAATTCCTAGGACTAGCCAGGCGCATTGGGAAGTGATCATTAGCAGAATTCCGCAGCTTCAGGTTTTTAGTGCTATTTTTTTTTTTTTAATAGGAAAATGAAATACTCCTGTATGTTTTTGGTGATAATTGATGAAATGATAAGGTCTAAAAATTTGATTCTGAATGTGATATGATAAGAAATGCCCCATATTTTCGGTTTTGATTCGGCACTTAGAAGATAAGGTTAAGCGTATGGATTGTAGTTCCTACAGGACGTTTTTTCCAACTACTACAATATGAGGAATCGGTTATAAGGATTTTTATATGTAATTATTCGTTTTTTTACTGTATCAATACACATTTATCATTCAAATTTAAATATTACAGAATTTCTGGGTTCATCTCTACCTTTTTTAATTTGAGTTTTTGATACCCATTTTTCAATCTTCTAAGCGGGACATCTACAGGCCTCCTAAACACATAATTCAACCATTTTAAGCACGATTCTTTCAATTTCTTATCTATCAACGGAAGTTCTATTTTATTTGTAATACACTCATTACTAGTTTTATGTAACCTCTAGTATGTGTAGACATTCATCTCAATATCTTTATATCTAGTACTCACATTTTTAAAATTTGTTTATTTTCGTATTGAAAACCTAACATTCTGACGTTAATCGAATGTCAATTTGACGGAACTTACCTTTCAAATACAATGATTTCTTACAATTACACGGTATCAATGACATTCTCTGTCATTTGTGCCATCCTATTAAATTTTATGTGTTATTAATCTATCAATATATTTTTTTCTTTAAAAGGAATACTAAATATTTAAAAACTTTTTCTTTTATAAGCAATTTTAACATTTTTCATACTATTACTCCTATGTCCTGAGTTGTATCTGGAGTCTTCGCGCAACTGTGCATTATTACCAAAAATTTATGCCAAAAGTAATCTTACATCTTACATATATATAAAAAGAATTTTTCTCCCAAGACACGTGTCGGTTCATTAGGATATCAATAGATTGACAGTAAAATTTTAAAGTAAAATAGTTAATGTTAAATTTATCTTTCATAACAATTTCATTTTAATTTTTTACCTTGGGTAAATATCACATTAAAACTTTGTCAAGTAAAATGACATAATACATATATTGGAGATATTGCGTCGGCGGTGACCGAATTCCGTCCTAAACAATTTCGGTTAATAATATTAACCATGTATATAGTACGGCGTATATCCTCATTCTTTACTGGTACAGTACAGTGCGACAAAATTTATTGGAAAGAGATGATGGATGATGATGATGAAGAAAAGATGAATAAAGACGGGGACAAGGAAGAAGAGAAGAAGGAGAAACGCCCGCGGAAGAGAGAAGTACGTGACCAACATAAGAATGAAAGTGTAAACAAAGAAGAAAGTCGGTGGCGGCGGCAAAGAAGAAGAAGTACCAATGCGTTTGGATTTGGGTTAGGTTTTTTTTTTTTGTTATTATCACATAGTATTTTTTTTGTTTTTTTTGCGTACAACATTACCACATTTCAAATTCAAATAAACATTTAAATATAGAAAATATAAAGATAATCATTATACTTGTGGAGGTGGTTTTGTATTGTTTAAAATTCAAAACAGGATTAACTTTAGGATGAAATTTTTAATTATAGCATTAATGGATTATGATAAATCTATAATTTTAATATTCGATTGAGGTAAATATTAAAAACGCGTAATATATATATATATATATATATATATATATATATATCCCAACCTAAATAATCGGAGTTCGATGCTGATGGATTCTTTCATTTCCCATTCTGCTTCTGAACTAAAATCTTTGAAATTTAGTGATGAAATTCTGCCCATGTTTTCTTGAAAAATATTTTGATTTATGTAGTCAATTTCTTTGAAATCAAATTCCACGTCCGTTGGGGGAAAACATACTCAAAACAGCTTATGGGAAAAAGAGTTTATTTATTTGACAAAAAAAAAAAGTTAAATGGAGCTCCATAAATTGATGCAGATTTTGAAAACAACGGTATGAATTATTCCTTTAGTTTAAAAATTCTGTTTTGTGCTATCTCTTAAATTTTGTAAAAGTAGTTGTCTTTACTCATTATGTTTTCTTATGTGCCTACGCATTGAATATAAGGAATAGATTTAATGTGTAATCTTGAGTAGGAAGAAGAGGTACTTCTTCAAATACAAAAGCAAATTCGATTATTTAGTTCAATTTTCTAAGACAAATTTTGCCTCAATTTCTTGTTCTCGGTTCATTAAAAAAATTGTGGGTTTGTGTTTTAGATTCAAAGGAAACTTTAGGGGTCTGTTGATATGTGATGTGAGGATCATCATTTATTTTGATGATTTTTAAATTAGTATTAATCTTGACGTGTTTTACCTTATATAATGCGGCCTCTGTCTTAAAATTATTGTCCAGTTTGGATTTTTACTTTTAGTTCAATTTTATGCTAAAAATGAAAATCCAAACTGGATAATAATTTCGAGACAGAAGTAATATATATCATTAGTTCGTTTTCAAACATTGACTCACGGACTTGGTCACATGTGTTGTGTCTTTGTGACAAATTAATCTATTGGTTAAACTGAATGTAGTTGAAAATTATGTACAATCAATCTCTCCCGTTAACTAATTAATACGGGATAAATTAATTTATGTTCAAATAAAAATCTCATCCATTAAAGAAAAAAAATTTAAATTGAATGTCAACTATGAAGATTGAAATATAATTGAATGATATAGGAAAAATATATATCCATAGTATATACTTAATTAAAGCAGCAAACAAAAAGAACACATGTCAGTTTCACAATGAAAATTTTCCCTCCAAAACACTTTTTTAGTACAAAATGAAAATTAACACGTAGCACTCTAGATTTTCAAAAAAAAATCAGCCTTAAACAAACCCCAAATTTTACGTATATATATATATATATATATATATATATATATATATATATATATATATATGCTAACTATGGATAATATATTAATTAAGTACTATAACAACTACTTATATTTATCACTTTCCATTTAAGGGATATATATGGGTTGTTGTGTATTTATCACCATCACCATTCCCATCCCTTTCCTCTTTCAATACTCATTGCCGGCCTTCCTCCTCTTTCTTTCCTTCAAAATCTGACCAACATGAAAATACCAGCCACTCCCGAAACGAAATCGGCCGTCTCCAACAAGTTAAAAGGGTTCACGATCATACAGGTCAATCTCCTTAATTGTACAGCTTCGTAACAATTTCTTTCCCGCTCAAAAGAATAGCTGCAACCTCCGTCACTTCCATTCCAAAATCGCTCCCTGCCGTTTCTCTTCCTAAAAAAAGAAGCCTACACAAATCTCCAATTAACAGCCATTACATCGCATATCTTTGCAAAACCCGCCATGAATTATCAACAACAATTCAAAATTCAAGTTCACACTGCTTTTGATTTGAACAAGTTGATTCCTCCTGAAATTCGGCTACAGTTATGCAGGATAAATCCTTACTCAAACAATTTAGGGCTGGCTGACTTCAGTAGAGGCAAAAAGCTACCGAAGCCAAAGACAAACACATCGATTTGGAACCGCCATCGAACACCAACTGTTCCGACACCAAACTAACCGGTGAGTTTCAGATCTGGAATTGGATAAAGTTTACGACAACTTGAACATTCCTTTTAGCAGCCGTGTTTGGTGTTTGGAAATACCAATTGGTTTAATCTCCCAATTATATAGGGATTAAAGGCTCCTGTTGCAGTGGTTAAAAGAAAAACGGTATATTTATTAAATTTGTATTTTTTTGTATTCTTTAATATGTGTGTGGTTCTGTGTTTTTTCAGTTCTGATTTGTTACTGTAATTTGAATTAAGTTCAGAAAACGATGATTTTATACTTTTGAACTCAGTTACTTAGGAGGTTCATCAATGATGTATTCTAAAGGTGTCAAATTTTTCAATTTTGACGCGGGAGGATTTTTGGACTAAGTTAATGGAACCCCCAAAGTCCAGATTTTTGTACCAACATTATAAGTTAGTGGCGAACAGCATCAACGGCAGACTCCAAATCACCGATTCAGAATTAAGTGAATCTCAGTGAAGAGCAGCATCCATGGAAATAGGTGAAAAAAACTCTCTATACAAATAAGAACTAAAAAAGAATGCTAAGATTCACTGATGGAGGCTGCTGGGTGGGGGAAGGGATCTGCGGGTAGTTAAGGTAAAATTCATTAGTTTGAATTAATTACTTTCATAAGGTGTATTGTTGCTACGGTTTTGGGTTTGCGAAGGGTGAAAGTTTGTTCTGAATTGCATCATGGTTATGAATTATTCTACCATAATTCATATAATATGCCTGTGGGTGTTTATATTACTGTTTTGATTTGTGGATTTCGTGCAAAGGTGGTAGTTTGGGCATCTTTTAGGACTGGAACAAACTAGACATCATTTGTTTCTATATTGCTTTAGGTAGTTTAGATTGCAGCTATTCATATTGTTTATTTATGTCATTCGTAGCAGTAAAACTTCACTCAAATTGACAATTCCACTCTTAAAATAAAGGTTTTCCTTTTATTGGATTCCTTTTTAATTTTCTTATTTTATAGTCCTAGGAAACTTCCTTTTCCGTATTGAAGAAGTTAGGCATTTTTGTCCATAGAATCGTTGGAAGGAAAGTAAAAATAAAGTTGCTTTTATCTTTTCTATCTTTAAGGATTTGATGAAAAAGTTTACTACTTGGTGCAGGAATTAATGTCATTTATAAGGTCTTATCATTCCTGAAGACTTTCCAGATAGTGTTTCGCCTTCTTATGTTCCATACATGACATAGCGTGCTCTAAAAGTACTCTTTGGATTTAAAGTTGAGCATGTTAGTTACTTTCAAATTTGATTTCTCTATCTCTACCAAGTCAGCCAATGACAAGTATAATGTTGTAAGCAACACTTTTTTGGTGGATCAATGGGCGTTTTCACCAAACAAACTCTCTTGAGTTCAGTTGGAGTTTGTAGAAGTAAGGCAGCTCCAGATGCAGTAGCTA